TAATGGATGGACTATTGGTGAAAAACTACGTGTTACACCTGATGACACTGGTCGTGTACCAGTTGAAGGAACATTGATTGCTGCAGATAATCATGAAATTGTATTGCGACTTTCAGATACAAAAGCAGGCAATATCAATGCTCATTTTCCTCAAGCAGGTTTCGATGTCATACGAGCATAGTATTATACTTTTTTTATTTATAATGTGAAATATATCATCATAGAAGGAATTTGATTTTACAACGACTATGATGTACAAAACATCAACAATTCGATTTATTTAAGATATTCTTCGTGAGATTCAAACATATGAATAATAAAAAAGACAAAAAAAAAAATAATTAATACGGTTTGACAGTCATACAAACACCTCGCCATGCCCATCGTGATGTTTGACCAATGATAGCTGTTTTCTTCCATAATTCTAATTCACAAATAACTTCTGTTGGATTTCGTTCAACTGAACGTTTACAAAATACTGGACATGAATAAGTATCTAATGTTGTTGGTCGACTAGGACCCGTTGTATCAACAATAGATTGTTGTTGTACAACAACTGGAGCAGCTTTTTCTGTTGAAATACATGTTAAATGCATAACTGGTAAAAGTGAACATCCATCACGATTTTTTGTTGGACTATCAGAAATCCCTTGTTCAGTTATATTTCTATCTGAACTACATCCCCATAGATAAAGACCATACATAAATAGACCTTCTTTAGGTGGTTCACGAATATGTTCACGATCACGAGGTGTTAATTCACATTGAAACATCAGCGAACTATTATTAGTATCATCAGAAAGATTAAGTGTATGTGCTACTTCTTGTTTAAATATACCAAATAATGATGAAGCATTAAAGAATGCAGATAAATTAAAAGCTGGATGTTTTTCACGACCTAAAACAATAGAAGATAAGAAATATGTTAGTTTGTAAATAATTTCATTATCATACCTTTCGTAAGTAATTTTTCAATATGTTCAGCTCGCATACTTAAATCATTAAAAAAATTATTTAAACCCCAAGTTGGTGGTGGTGCACTTGGACCTATTGCTTCACACCAAACATCAGGTATTCGTTGATAATATAATGCATGTGCAACACTAGCTAATTCTGGAGACCATTGTACACCTAATTGACTAAGATCACAAGCATTTTTTATTGCTTGTACATGTGTACGAATAAGTGTAACAAGATCAGTCATTAATTGTGCTTCACGTATAATCCATATATTAAATGGACTATTCTGAGCTGAACCATTACGACGAGCACGATCCAATATTTGATCCTAATTATATTTATAGTTTAAAAAGAGATAATACAAAAAAATATATATGATACTTTTGTCAAAACTTTAGGCAATTTCGAAGCTAATATGGTCGTACAATATTCATCTAATCCAACATTTTTCTTTGTTACAAATGAATAAAGTGCTGCTGCACTAAATGAACTTGATAATCCACTTGCTGATGAAAAAGATGTATTAATTGTTACATCTATTAATAATTATCTATAAGAATTAGTATTTTAATCAATAGAACAAACCTTCGACAGGAGTATTTGGTCGTTGAAAAACTGATGAAGTAAGTGAAATAGTTGATGGTAAAGCATCTAGTATACGATTAAGACGACCCATAACATATACATCATCACCTATTATAAAATATGATTTATACAAAAAAATAAGAAGAAAAGTTATTTTCTTTTCTACCGAGATTTGTTTCATAACTTGAATGAAGATGGCATGCTTCTGGTACATCAAGTTGATGTGTAGAAATTGATTCAAGTGCTTGTAATAATTGACTTAATTTCGGTTGTTGTCCAAAAAATACTGATGGAATTTTATATTTTATTTTTGAATATTCAAAATCTTTTTTAATAGATGCTGGTTGAATCCAAAAATCAACAATATTAATAATAGCACGTTGATCATATTCACTTAATGCTTTTGCACCATAAATTAATTCTGATAATGTATAACGCATTGATGTCCAAGATAATTGTCGAGTATTTGTTTCAGTTGTTGTTGTTGTAACCATTGTATTTTGATGTGCTGATTCAAGTCGTGAAGTTGATTGATCACTTAAAGCAAATTCTCTTGCTAAAACTTGAAATGCTGATGTTAATTCAACATTTGTAAATGATGTTAACGATGGTAAATCCCAACCAGCTTGATTATATCGTGTACGAAGATTTAATGCACAATGAATATAACAAACATTATGTAATAATGGAATCCATTCAGCTTTGGATGAATGACGAAGAAGATCATTATCAATTAAAGAAAATGCTCGTGCCATAGCTTCTTTCATTGATAATGGTGTACGAATATAAGTAATTAAACATAGATTATAGAGTGAAGATGGTAATGGATATGTACGTTGTAAACTAAGCCAAATACGAGGCATTGGTGATGGACGTTTTAAACGAAGTTCCCAAAGACATGTTTCAACATGCGATAAAAACGATGGGCTATTATGAAGACCATGAAGTAAAAGCCAAGCATTCTAAAAGAAACTATTTTAAATTTGATTTTCAAATAAAAATTTCTTTACATTATTTAATGCATTTTTTAAAGCTTTTTTTAATATTCGTTCTTCTCTTTGTCCATTACCATATACATTAAGAATTTGATATGTTGGTGTTATTAATAATGGATCATTTTGAATTGAATTTGTACAATATAAGAAAAAGTTAATAACTTCATCTGGTTCATCATCATACAATAATAAAACACATCGTTGATTACTTTGTCGTATTAACAAATCCACCTCATGTTGAAGTGTTGGTGATATTCTATACAACAAAAAATATTTTAATTAGACAAACAAAAAATCATTTTCAATTAAATTTACGGTATTGTTGGTGTTCGTGATGATGATGATGCTGCTTGAGGAGGCGGATTTTGATGTTCTTGTGTTACAGATTTTGTTTTATTTGAACTAAGAATACAAATAAATAAAATATATAAATCATATGAAATAATTTTACTCTTGATTAAAAACATTGGCAATATATACAGTTGATGCTTGAAGTAATCGATCATTTCTTACAGCACGTACAACACAAAATTTTTGTATTGGATCAAGTTGTTCAAGTGGTGGTGGTAAAACACAATTTTCTGTATCACCCTCACAAAATGGTCGCCATTTAACTTCTTGAACTTCTTTAACCATTCGATCAAATGGTTCAGAAAACCAATCAAAATAGATAGCTAAATACTAAACAAGAAAAAACAAAATTTATATTAAATTCTAAATAATAAAATATGATATATTACTTGAAGATTTTGAAATGCTTCATCTGTCATCCAATCAAATGGTTTTTTATATGTTAAGAAACGTTCATTTGGTGTACGAGCTCCACGTTTTTGTAATAATGCAGCAGCCCATGCTGGTGATATGATAAATTCACGTTCACCAGTTGGACTATTTAAATCAAATGGCTGACTTTGACGACGATTCGATGATTCAATCTAAGTATTTTTATACAAAATCAATCATTTGTAAAAATTTCACAAATCTATTATCATACTTCCATCGCAAAAAAGAGTGCAAATACACGTCGATCACGATCATTTAACATTCGTAAAATTGTTATAAATGCACTTCGAGTTAATTCAGTCATTACATTACCCATTGAATGTCTATTGATAGTATAAAAATAAATATTTTTTTCGAAATTGAATATCAAAAATAATTTTACTTTTCAGATTGAAATATACATGTATCAAATAAATCAATAAAATGTTCAAGTGGCATAACATATTCAGGTAAAAGTTGTTGTAAATAATGTATTGTATTGTAACAAGTAGCAGCACGTTGTGCTAATTTTTTATAACTATTTCGAGTTTTAAATAAACTTTCTTCTTGTGATGCAACTCGTTTTGATCTAGGAAAAAAATATATAGAACAGAAAATTCTAAAAAACAAGTATTTAAATTACCCTTCAGTTGCTTCATCATAAGCTTTTTTTAAATCAGAAAGACGTTTAGTAGGTTCAACACTATTTAATAAATTAACTGTATCTGATGCAAGAAAATTTGTTATATTTTGTCGTAATGGATCAATTATTTTTAATGTATCAACTTTTTCCTAATGAAAAAACAAAGAATAAATTATTTTTTAAAAATAACTTCCCAATATTAAAACCTGTAATAGAGCATATTGTTCTGTATCAATATGTGGTTTTTCTTTAATCATAAATCTAGTTAAAAATATTTCTTCAAGATCATTAAATGTAATATGAAAATTTAATGTTAATGTATATGCTGATAATTCTTTTGGAATAAAAATTGGTTGAGTAGTTGTATGTAAATAAAGTCTATTGATACAAAAATGAAATAATAAATCAAAAATTCTAAATTTATTCACCTGAATTTAGGACTACATTCAATTTCTTGTTGACCTATTTGTAATTTAAATGGTTTTTCACTTGATACAAAACGTGCTTGATTTCGAATAACAGTTTCAAGTTTTTCATTTGTTATTAAAGTATTCGTATCACAATCTGTTATTAAAAGATGATGTCCTTCGGAAAGTGCATTCTCTAATTGAGTACGTAATTGCTTTAAACGGAAAAAAGACAGAATTATTATTTAATTCAATAAAATAGATATTCATACATGATATCGAACAATAATTAACTTCTTATTTTTTAAAAATAAACGAATATAATCAATTGAATACCATGTTGTATCACATATTAATGGCCATGCATGAAGACCAGCATCAGCCATAATCATACATCCATTTTCTGTCATTATATCAGTTGGGACAAGACGAAGAAGTTCAAATTCTTTTAATTCAATTGGATTATATAAAAATTCAGCAAGTGTCATCACTTGAATTGTATTTGTTTGACTATTACGTCCAGTATCTAATGATTGATTATTCATTGAGAAAGATAAATCAAAAGAATTCTTTGAAATACTATCAATTGGTATTGGCTATTGATACAAAATAAAAAACAAAATTTCGTTTGATAAAATTTGAATTAACACATACTTGAAAAACTAAATCCGATTCACGTGGAATTTCATATTGTTCACAAAATTTAAGAAATTTTTCACATAAAATTCTTCTTAAATCAGCATCAAATGGTGAACAATAAGCCATATAAGCTGCAGCTAATATACAATTTGTTAGAGTTTGATCATGTGTTGAATGTTCAGCTATCCATTTTGTCCATTGATCTTCCAAATCGGATAAACTAAAGTAAAAAAATATTCAACAATAAATATTCATTGTATTCTATAAATAAAAAATTTCGGGTTTAACAAAAACGATAAACATCATGTAAGTTGATACCGTTTTTTTAAATCATCAAAACATTCATCAATGAATGTTATACAACAAAACTGAAAACTTTAATTTTATATTGTTAGATAAATAAAATCGTTTTCACGCAAAAACATTTTTTATCTATTCTTTTTACCAGACACTATCATTATGTGGTCGTACTGATGGATCTCGTCTGTAAATATGAAAATAAATACAAAAATTTATACATATACAAGAGAAGAAGAAGAAAACATAATGACGAAACAAAGATTATACATATGTGCATATTCTTACTATATTAATTGTTTCTTAAAATATACTTCCATTTCAAATACACTGATATTTTATGTATAAAAGATTAATTTTTATTGAAAATGTTTCAGATATATTTACCTTTCTGTAACAGTAATTGCGGCTTGTAAACGTAATTGACAACTTTCATATTCTTTTTTTAACTTATTTTTTTCAACAGCTGCAGTATCAAAACGTTTTTGTGCTTCGGCAAGTTGATTTTCTAAACGTGGTAAATCATCCATTGTATATTGTGATATATCAACTAAACGATTATCTTCTTCATTTGAATCGGCATTTTGAAGAGTTTGTTCGACTAATTTCAAACGTTGAATCTATATTATATTAACTAATTTATAAATATGAAAAAAAATCTATTCAACAAACTTCATTTTCTCGTTCAATTTGTTTTTGTTCAGCTTCATATAATTCTTGTTTAAGTTTATCAACTCGTTCTTTTGTTAAACGTAATGGTTGACATATTCTTGTATATTCTACTAAAGCAATAGCATAATGAACAAGTACGGCTGCTTCTTCAGATGCATAACGAGCAGCACCTAAAGTTATACGATTTTCTTGTGCAGCAGTAGCACGTGTAGCAGGTACATGAAAATCTATTCATTAAAAATAAATCATAAGAGATAATTTGTTATAGAGATACAAACTTTTAGCATTGTCTAATAGTGAACCTTCGCCTGTAATTCCTTCTGATATTCCATCTTTACCTTTTGCAATATAGGATTCAACAGCTTAAAGAAAATAATATGAACATTTATATTTATTTTCAATCGATAAATATACCATTAGAAATATCAAGATTGAGACCATCTTGCCAATTAAGTCCATGTAATATATCGATAAATTTACTTATATCAGCCATTACTGTTGTATATTGTTTCCATTGATGACGATCAAGACGTTCAGCTTGAAGTTTTCCTAGAATAGATTCAATAGTTCATGTTTGTTTTTTTTTAGTATATTATGTCAGCCAAACCTCTTTCTCGTTCTTGTTCTTTAACATCTAATCTAACAGGCGGTTTTCGACCAATTAATATTAAAACTAAAAATACATATTTATATATAAAATTGAATTAAAAAATTATATTAATCTTTTTACCCATTTCCATAATTTGTCCAATGAGAACAGGTGGTGTTTGAAATGTACGTATTCGTTCAATGCATGATTTATCAACTTTATTCATCCAAAATTCGACATCTTTACGTTTATCTGCTAATCTTTCACGCCATACTTCAACTTCTTTTAATGCTTCTTCATATTCTTCTTGCATTTTTACTTGACGAGATCGTAATGATTCATCTTTCATACGTTTAAAACTTTCTTCATATTCATCAGCTTCATCTAAAAATGAAAAAAAGATTTTCCAAAAAATCAATTCAAATCAATTCGTTTTTACCTTCTAAAAGTAATTTTCTTTCTTCTTCTGGTAATTTAACATCATCTTTATCATCTCGATAAACATAACCAGGTAAACATCCAGGTAATGCATATTTCGCTCGTAATTTTTCTAAAACCATTGATTTATAAATAACTTCTTCTAAAAGTACTGCTGTTCCGTTTTCACTAACTGAACATCTTTCTTTTAATTGTTGAATATAATCTTTCATATTTTCTGCTTCTTGTCTTGTTTTATGTAATGTACTTAAAACTTTACTTAATCTTATTATATCACGTTCACAAACAGCTGCTTTTGATGTAAATAAATACCAAAATGATTGCATAAAACGACGAAATGTTTCTGGTCCAATAAATGCATGTAATTGTGACATTGTTGATGATTTTCCTAATCCATGACTTTTAACTTGTTCATATAGAAGCATTCGTGAATATGGATGATTTGGTAATTCAATATCAACAATTTTAACTTCTTTAGTAGAATTTTTCTTTGATCCAAATTGATCTTTTGATAATGTTGAACGATTGGTTAATGGATGAGTTTGATTTAATGAACTTTCACGAATAATTATTGTTTTATCAATTGAACCAACATATGGAATTTGACGAGATTCATTTAACATAAAATAATGTATATCAGAAAAACAACGTGATAAACGTTGATGAAGATCTTCAGAAAGAACACTATCATGTGATGAAAGAAAATAGGATGCTTCGGTATAAAGAGCTGTTGATGACCAATTCTTTATCCAATAGACTTGAGTATGTTTAAGTAAACCAGGATATTCACTAGTTTGATAATATAAAATTTAATTATTTGATATATAATATAGACTTACAGTGATAGACGACCAAGTAGGTCACTATGTGATGGTAAACATATAGCAATATGAAGATTTTGACGAACTTTTGTTAGAAAAAATCGTCGTGGATCACTTATAACTGCTGTTGCTAAAACAGGATCTCGTTGATATGCATTTAATACAGCCTGAAAGATTTATAGAACTTTATTTGTCTATCCATTATCTTTATCAATGAAACTTCAAACTAAAATAAGAGGTTTTAGACAGGAGTATAACTCTCCCTGATTTTAAAGTTCGTTCCAGTGTTTTATCTGGGTTTCGTTTCTTGGATGGGCGGTACCTATTCACTCCACCCGCTGAATAAAATGGTCCTGTTCTCTATGATTTATTTATCCGATGATCCCTTTACGCTTTCCCTCTGACTTTATATACCTTTAAATTAGAATTTCCATATTATAAAAGAAACAAACCTGATAAAGTCCTTCAACTTCATCTACACTGAAAAGATGCGGACATTCACAACTTGTTAATAATGAAGAAATATCATCGATTATATCTGTATCACGTAGATGTTTATTCTAAATATTTCGCAAAAAAAAACATTTATTTTATTTTTCAATGAAAATTTTCTTTTCTTACTGTTAATAAAATTCCAATATGTCGTCCTTCGACTGCAGTTATTCGAATAACAGTTTTTAAAGTATCATAAAATAAACTTTTATTCGAATAATCAATAACATGTTCTTGAATTTCTGCTAAATAAAATGCTAATCGAACTAATTTTGACAAATGTGAACCAACAGTACCAATAACAAATAAATTACTCCTATAACATATTATTTCGAAAATATAATCTTTCGATAATATTAATTAATAAACTTACAAAGTTGGATGAGATAAAATTCTATGCATACGTATAATATGTAATGCTGTATTCTCTGAAATTGATAATGAAAATGCATGATGACCAAATTCTTCTCTATATCGTAATGCAACTTGATCAATAATTTTACGAAGATTACTAACTGATTCAAGTGGTTGAATTTGAACCTTAAAATAAAATAAATAATAGAATAAATTATTTTCCTTGTTCTATACTTTAATTTCTTTAATAGTCAATGAATTAAGTGGACGTTCGAAACTTCTACCTTCAATCGGAAATGTAAAATAACGATGATCTTCTTCAGGTTTGTCCCAATTAAATACCTATATTTAAAAAAATAATAAATTTTAAATTTTAATATTAACTTTTATTTTTACACGTCGAAAAATTTCATTCATCGTATCTGTAAACCAATTTTGATCCATTTCTCTTGCAAGTTGATCATAAACAATTCGATATAATTCATGTTTAAGAAAAGGTGCGAGAGTTGTTGGTTCATTTCTTATTTCTTCATCAATATTTTTTAAACTTTGAATAGGAATTATCATATGACGTAAAGAAAATAGATAATGTTCACGGCCAGGTATTGAACTTGGTTGAAGAACACGTTGAATATGTTGAAGTGTTTCCATGAGAACATCAACAATTTTAGTTGACATATCTCGACTGATTGGTGCTTTACCAAATGCCATCATATTTACATCAATAACATTTGTTAGAATTTGACGAAGAGATGAATCATTTGTTGGTAAATTAACTATTGCAAAATGACGCTTGAAAAAAGAAAGAAGTAAAATTTATCTAGTAGAAATATTTTACATACAAGTAATCGAGAATTAAGTGTTAATAATGATTGTTCACCGGTGGGTGGTATTGTAGCAGTTGCAAAAACAAAAAGATCATCAATTATTCGTGTTTCATATGGTTTTTGTTGTGTTATAAATTGATGATGATCCATAAGTGTTCGAAGAAACTATTCAAAATAAAATATTTTTTTATTTTTCATAACAAAAAGATTTCTATTACTTCAGGAGCATTTTTAAATTTTCCTAAATCATTTGTTGCTGATGCTTGTAAATCATCAATAAATAAACAAAGTTTTTTTGCTAATGGTGCACCATATGTAAAACCTTGTCGATGAACAACATTAGCTTCAATAAGTTTCTGTAAATCCATTGAATCAGTTGACATTGTTATATTTGAACGTGCACTTTGAAAATGTGCTGGATCTATATATATATATATGTCATTTTAAATATATATATATATACATTTATTAATATACAAACCTAATCCACTAAGAAATGTATCGAATAAAAATGATTTACATGAACCACTTGTACCACTAAGTAAAATATTAACTTGTGCTAATGCAGCATATTTAAGAAAATAATGAACACGAGCTAAATCAACTGTTTGAACAAGTACATTACCAAATGCATCAATACGATCTTGGATATTTTCATTAAGTTCATCAACTCTGAATTTATAATAAAAAAAAAATAAAAAAATATGTCGAATTTTTATTTTTCTAGTTTTTTTTACTTTGCTGTCCATAAATCCCATTCACATGATTCATCAACATAATAATCAAAAACAGATATTTCTCTATCATCATCTGGTAAAACTGCAGTTAAAGTTTTTAATAAATCAGAATAACTTTTTTGTTCATCAGGATTAAGTATAACTTTAAGAACAAATGTTAATGAAAATATAAAGAAACGTTCAATATGTATATCAGTTGTAATATGACTATTTTCACGTAATATAGCATCTAATATACGAAGAGTTATAGAAAATAAACTCATTTCAGAATAATAGCTTGATCTAAAATATTTAAATTTGTTTTAGTTTATAATAATAAATATTAATTTAATGTACCGTGGACATTCTTCTCGAAGATATGTTAATACTGGATCCATTACTCTATCAAATGCAGCACGAAGAGACTAGAATGAATATATATTTATTATTAATTATTTAGAAAATGATTTATTAATTGAACCTCTAAATGACCTCGACCTTTGAGCCAAGCACCTGCAATAACTTTCCAATCAATAACAGATTTATCAAAATAGATGACAGTCTATTTAGAAGAAAATCAAATTTGTACAGTAGAAAAAAAGGAGTTTATTTACTGAATTAGCAATAAATGATGGTGATGCATCAGTTAATGATGATGTTTCAAACATAAATTTAACTTGATCAAGTAAAAATACTTTATCACCATTACGTATTTGTATTGATGATTCTTTATCTAATATTGATGGTAATAAATCAGCCCATGTTCGACTTATAATACCATCAAAACAAAACCAACTTGTATGACAATTCTAGAAATATAATATTTTATTTTCTTCCATCCTTATATTTATTAATAAAAATAAAACTCTACTCGATTTGCTTTTCGTAACATTGTTGTAAGAATTCCATCTTGCCATTCATTTGCTATTGTATAATAACCAAGTAAAACACTTTCAGATTCAATTGCTAATGGATTTATTCTAAATATCACAAAAAAAAATTTATTTTTCTTGAATATTAATACACTAATAATAATATACCGATAAAGTTTATGTGCTTGTTCAGCTGTTTCTTGAGTATAATTTGATTCTTGTGATAAATTTTTTTGTTGTTGATTAAATGTTTGTAATTGTTGTTGTTGTTGTATTTGTGTTAATATATCAATCATTAATATAGCTGCACTTGATTTACCACTATGTGCTGAACCACATAAGATCATATTTTTTGAAACATTAGCTGCATGAATCATTTGTGTTAATTTTGCAACCCATAATTTATTTGGAATAAAATCATGATCTGGTGCTTTATCACATATAATTTTTTCTAATACTGAACTTGTATTTAATGTCGCCATTTTTGATTCATCTCGTCCAACAAATATATCAAGTACAAATGTTCGAAATGTTTTAGCATGCTAAAATTAAAAGAGTTTTTTGTTTTATTCAAAAGAAAAAGAAATTCATTTTCTACTTCAGGATCTAATCGAGCACCGATAACATCCATAAATGTTTGAGCTATTAATAATTGATCCGATTTACTACCAGTATATGATGATGTTTTCATTGCTAAAGAATGTCGAATTTCTATATTATGAATAAAATGAATATTCTATTTACCTTTACTGTCGATTTTTGGTCCAGCTTGTGTCATACTATTCGGTCTTGAATTAGTACGTTTTTTGATATTATTTACATATTGAAGTACATCAAGAAAAGTTGTTAACGACATTATTGAACGTTGTTCAATAGGTCTAAATGGAAAATTTTATTAAAATGAATTTATATTTTGTGTAATATCTTACAAATATAATCGAACTGTTTCATAGAGAAGAGAAATTTTCTCTGCAATATTAACTGGATTTTTCAGATTAAGTTCAAAACATTTTACACGAAAGATTTGATCAATTTCTGGTTTCACAATTGACACAATACGAAAACGAGAACGAATTTCAGATGGTAATGTTGTACGATGATGATTATCGGGATTGATTGCATATGGATTACGTGTTGCCATTATACCAACTGAGGATTGAATCGAAATCTTCAAAAATTTTATTCATAAAATTAAAAAAGAATTTATATATATGTATATCAAACCTCTTTATTTTCAGAAATAATAGTTGCAGCTGAACTATTTGCTCGAAGAGCATCAAAAATAACTGTAATATATTCAGCAAGTGGTGATAAAACATTGGCTGATAATGTATGAATATTATGAAAAATACCCCAACATCCATCCTAAATTATTTGAAAAATTAAAATAAATATTATTCAATTATAGAATAAATAGAAATTAACCGTTGCTAATCCAGTTATAAACATAGCAATAGCTGGTATATCGACAAGTCGAGAACATTCAAAAGTTGCAACAAATCGACCAAGAAAACGAGCTAAACTCTATAATAAATGAAATTAATTATTAAAAAAGAAAATAACTTTTTTTTCTCCTATAATAATACTTTAATTGTATATGTTTTTCCTACACCTGCTTTGCCTTGTACAATAACAGGTCGTTTAAAAGATAAAGCATGCCATATACCAAGAAAACATTTTTCTGTTGTTGGTGTAAGACATATTGTTTGATGAATTCCATAAAATTCACTTCCATATGTAAATATATCATCCATGACTTGCATACGAACGGGTTCAGAAGGAAGAGGTGTTTCTATGGTACTATGATCAGCAGATTTCCGTTCTGATTTCTTCGGGTAAATTTGTTGATAGACTCGAAAACATCGTCGCCAATCAAAATCTTTTGCTGTCATTTCACGACGACGTGAACAAACAAGTTCAATATTATCACGTAAATATCCAGCATACTTTATATAAATAAATAAAAGGGAAATTATTTTTCAAAAAAAGAAAAGTATAAAATTACCGCGAGAACACCTTCTAAACGTAATTTATGTATGGGTAAAACTGGTTGTGTTGGTGTTTTCCATTGTGAACGTGATAATACTGTTGGTATTTTTTGTGTTAATGTTATAAAACGTTTGGTTGCTGTTTGTAAACCTTTTCGATCTGTTTTCGATTCAGCCAATCCTGTTTCAATTTCACGAGTCCATACATATAATATACCTACTAATGAAACTTGACATGTATACTAAAAATAAAGAAACATTCATTTTCACTGTATGTATGTATGTGCATTTACAAATTACTTTCGAAACAAGTTCTTCAAATGGTAAACCATTATCAAGATCTCTAATACACTGAGCAATATCTGTTCGAATTGTGTCGGCTACAGTTTCTTGTAATTGACTAAGCCATTGTTCTACAGATTTTTGTATTGGTACCGAATGAATTAATTGCATATATTCACCATCATCACTTATAACTTGTTCAATATCACGTTGAGTTAAAATATTTAGATCTAAATGTGAACGTGAATCACCATTCGCTGCACTCTAATAAAAAAAGACAATTAATAGAAATTAAATAAATAGAATATATTTACACGTCGTCCACTTTCTGTTTTAGGTTGATCAAGATTAATAACATTTATTTTAAGTTCATGAATACCATTAAATAATGCTTGAAAATGTGGTTTAACATAATTAATTGTGTCTTGTCGACTTAATAATGATATTAGTGTACGATTTGTAAGAAAATAAAATCGTGGAAATATTTGACGTTTACGATCCAAATATATTGATATGGATTTATTACATATTTCTAATTCTTTTTGTATCTCTTTTAATATACCTTTTTTTGGTGGTTCACTTAAACAACATTGTAAAACATTACGAATTTCTGCGGATTGTCGTTGAGTTTTTAACCATGTTTTATCAACACGTACAAATCGTTTCGATTCTAATGATATATCTTTTCCAGCTGATGGATTATTAAAGATATTTTCAGCACCTAACCACATATCTTGAACTTCAAGCCATAATTCAAGAATTTCTCCGATAGTTTTTAATTTTTCTGACCATGATGCGACTTCTTCACGCATTGGTTCAATATATCGTGTTGTAAGCATTTGAGCAAGTCTAAAATAATTAAAAAAAATTGTTTTTCTTGAAAAAAATAATAATTTACGTTTCTTCTCCATCTTCTAAATGTTCAAGTAAATGTTCCACATAACGTTTTTCTAATAAAACAGGTCCATAATCTTTATATGGTTCAAAACTAAGTATTTGTTCTGTCCATTCTTCTTCAATACTACGCATTCGTGTTTCTAATTCAAGTTCTTTTTGAGCAGAAAAACATATAGCTGAAATTTCATTTTGATAATTATCTAATGGTATATCTAATAAATCATTTAATCTAAATATAGTTGATTCTAATTGAAATTGATATCCAGTTATTTGCATAACTTTTAACCAATGACGACTACGAATTTCTCGTGCATTTAACATAAATAATATTGGAAGTAATTGAAGATATTTTTTTAAATGTATTTCTAAATCTGTATATGCTGTCCATATACGTTCTTGTAATTTCGATGGTAAATTACAAAAATCTGTCCATAATTGATTAAGTTCATATCGACTTTGATTTAAATCAACTTCAGACCAAAGAGTTGAACGAAATGTTGTATCAAATGCTATATATTTTTTATATAATATATATAATTGATCAAGTAATACCAATTCCTATGAATATAATTAAATTATTAATAGAAATATATACAAAATCCATTAAATAATTAACGAAATCGATATAGAGATATATATATATAGGGTATATATAAAGCAAGCGCATATAATCATGCATTTTAAAATATATATCAATCTCACCTGTTTAGAAATATATCCTAAAAAGATTTGATTTTCTTCTTGATTATTATAATTAATTTATTAGTTGAAGTAAATAATTTAAATATTTTTTCAAAAACTTACTTCTCCTGTTTTATCTAATTCAGGAAATGGTTTTGGTTGTAAACTAAATAAAGTTGATATGGAATTTAATGTTTGTTTACGTTTATGCATAATTTTATATTGTCCTTGAAAATCTTTTAAACGTTTGGATGCTTCTAATGGACCTAAATCTGGTACATTAGGTCCTTCAACATCGAATGAATTTCTAAAACGAATAACTTCAACAACAAATGATTTAACTTGTTTATCTAATTCTTGTTCTAATTGTTGTCGACGTTCTTGTAATAATAATTTTCGTACACGATCAGCATTTAACATTAATTCAGACCATTTATCACGTAATTGTGAACATTCTAGTAATTCATCACGTGGAATTGGAATATTATAAACTTGAGTCAAAAGTGAATAAGTTGTTTCAATTGGTAAATAAATTGAACTAAAAAAAGAATAGATAATAACAATTATTAACATATAATTTATGTAAAATCGAATACGAAATCAATCCTTTCACTATTAGGCATATAAATCATCTATAGCAAAACGAGGTGGGTGTTGTAGTACGAGAGTAAAATGACTTATACACCTACGCCCTTTTTGTCATTCCGAAGATCTTCTATATGTCGAGAAATGTCTCTTTCTCATATTTTCTAATATAATAAAAATATAATTATTATTTTTACTCGATTTTATTTTCCATTTCACCTAATTCTTCTAATAGAATTAGAGCTTCATCTAATTGTTCAAGTGTTGATACATTATCATTAAATCTTGCTTGAATTTGTTGTCGATATTCAACAACTTGATCAAGTTCAGTTTTAGCAAATCTATGTAATAATTTAGCATATTGACTTTTCCAACTAAATATAAATGTTCGAAGAGAATTTATAATTGGAACTGTTTCAATACAAATACAACCAATTTGTATTTCATGTGGAAAGAAATTTAAACGTTCTTCAATTTGTACAAGACGTTCAAGTTCACTTTGTAAATATTCACGTGTTTCTTTCGATGGAATACCATCTGGATCAATTGTTATCACATAATCATCACCATTTTCATCCTGTTGAATAATTGTTTGATATTGTAATTGAGAATCATCATGCCAAAGAAAATCAAATGTACGAATATATCGTATAGCATTTTCAGATATACGAGTTACATCAGTGTCAATTGATGATAGACGATTAATTAATTCAGATAAATTTGTATCTGATTTGATTATTGACGATAAACGATGAGCAGTTTCTTTATCAAAACCAGCCGATGCTTTAAAGAAGAAAAAGAAAGATATTGATTTGATTAGGAATATTGTATGATAAAATTCAGTCTAGTAAATCAGTCGCTTCTTATACATTCGCTATGACTTATAAAATTGTTCGAAAAGTTTCAGTGAACTAACAGAAATAGTTATAGTTTGATAGAGTATTACACTTCGTAATAGAAGCAGAGAAAAATTTATTAGTATTCGAAAAATGTCATCAGCCTGTTTTGATTCTTTACCAGGAAGTGGGATTGTCTTAATGATTTTTAATGAATTTATATTAAAAAAAAAGGTTCATACCACTTATTTGTTTTTCACAATTAAGAATTGCATATGCAACATCACAAACAGATTTTTGACAAATGATTACTTCTGGATTAATAGTTATTTCAGGTATAGCATATTGCATTGTAGAAGCAATTCTAAATTCATTAAATAAAAACAATTAAGATAAAATTTTCTTTATAGTAAAATCAAATAAATGTACCTAATTCGTTGTGTATCAATATTATTCGATTGTTCATTAATATTTGGTACTTCAAATAAAAGTCGAATTAATTTTGTTTGATCAAATAAATATATGTCGTCGGATACAGAAGCTAATTGAATAAATGCACGTAATGTTCGTTCGATTATTATTTGTATACAATGATTCATTTTATCTTGATAATATCTAATAAATGTCATCATAGCTTCCTGTGTAGTCGTTGGTGTTTTTGCTCTTCGTGTTGATGAACTTGATGAAGGAGTTTTTTGTCCAGAAGAATTTAATCTTACCATATCTTCAACTTCTTGAAATCTTCGTTGTACTTCAGAAAGTTTTTTACCAATTAATATTGCTTGTTCATTTATGTGTAAAGACATTTTTTCAAAAAATTCTGCTGGTGTCCATAATTTTGAATGCATATAATCTATTGAAAATAGAAGATATGATGAATTCATCAATTCATTATCAAGAATTTTATCAATTTTTTCTGCAATTAATGTATTAATATTTGAAATGAATGTTTCAAAACGATCAAGTGCACGATGAACTTTTGTCATATAAACATCAATATTAAGATTTGACCAATTTATTGTATGTAGACCAGGTTCAAATGCTCGATAGATTTGAGCTAATTGACTAGTAAATAATGGATAAAATGGTGGATAGATTTGAGATTGTAAATTATAAAAACGTGAGAGAAGATCTTCAAGCAAAGATTTGTATTGTTTAAATGATTGTTCCTAGAGAAAACAAATAAATATTAGAAATAAACAAAATATTCTCTTTTAGTTATAAGCAGTGTTTTAGCTAGCAGGTGGACTAGATGGGCGGCGCCTACTCACAAGCACCCTCAACTACCATGTCAAAGGTAACAAGTAAAATAACTTCTTTTGTAGGATCTTAAAATTATTAAATCTAATGATATTGATCATTGTTCTTTTTCTATATAATTACCTTTTGCATATAAATCAGTGCTGCTTTCGGAATATCTACATCAAGTCGTTTAAACCATTTAACTTCATCAAATATAGAAAATAATTCAATATTTGAATTAATTTCTATTTGTCTGTTATGATCATTATTTTTATTTAAACGTAATAAACTAGCATTTAAATGATCTTTCCATGCATCTATTTTTTCTTTCCATCGTGCCAATAATAATTGTTCGTAGACAAGTAACATTTTAGCTGTACGATTATAAAGTTTTGATACGACTGCAAAATTTCCTAATGCAACTATATGTCGATTTAATTTAAATATATCCATTGCTTTTTCAATTTTTGTTAATAACGTTCGTGACCAAGCAATAGCACCTTAAGAAAATCTCGTTTTTTTTGTTTAAAAAGAGTAGAAGAATTTTACCTGCAATAGGTGGTGCATTTCGAAGCAATGGCGGATCATCTTTTTGTGCTTCGAATGTTGTTCGAATATCCATCAAATCATTCTCAAAATCTTGAAAAGAATAATAAAAAAGAAACAATGTTATAAGAAAAAAAACAAACGGATTACTAAGAAATAAATTAACATAAGCATCTCGAAGAATAGGACGAAGATAATTTCGTTCACAAACAGGCTCAAAACTTGCTAGAATAGTTAAACCTTCTTGAGTACGTTTTGTTTTAGAAAACATAACATTAAGATAGGCACCAATGATTTGTTCAATTTCATGTGTTATTGAAGTAAAATTTTTATGAATTGAATCAAATCTTAAAAGACAAAAAAGAGTTAAATGAATAACAATAATGTATCAAAAAATACTTGGTTTTTTCTTCGTCATTTGTTGGACTATTATTATTATCTATTAAAAGTGATTTAAGTTGTTCAACACCTTGAGCAATAAATACACTTAATGGTAAAGATTCATCATCATCATAATAATATTTTTCTGTTGTTTTTGATTAAAATAAAAACTAATATTAAAAAAATTTATACAATAATAGAAACATACTTAATAGATCAAGATCAGTTTTTGATACAGATGAATGAAGATAATCATAAGTAGGTGTTCCTGAATCACTATTTGGATCATCAATTCCCTCATCTGATATATTATCAGTATTGTTATCTTCATTATCATCTTCTTTTTCTTCTTCTTCATGTTTTGAAACATCTAAAATAATCATTCAAATATATATATAAATATAATTATTTATTATACCACTACGATTAACAAGACTTTCTGCATCGATTAAATCTTTACGTTTTGGTTTAGGTAATCGAACTGTTGAAACAATGAGTCTAAAATAGAATTCAATTTAAATATAAACAAATAATTTATCTCTATATTTAATTATACTGTGAAAATTGATTAAGTGTTATTGTCATATCAAGCATTTGTTCAATTCGACGAGAAAATTCTTCTAAATTTTCAAAAATTTTTTCATCTTCAGCCATTAAAATTCCACTTGATCGTCTTATCTGATGTCTTGATTGACTCTGATCACGCGTATGAGTATTTCTAATTATAAAATAAAAATTTTTTAAATAAAATTTCAATTCTAAAACTAACGTTGTTCCACTTATTGTTGATGATGCTGATGAAAAAGCTGTTGTTGTTAACATTTGTGCACCGCCAAGTGCATCTCGTAAAGCACGAAATATTTCTTTATAAGATGCTTGTAAAAGAAGACAATTTTTTAAACGTTGATAGACACTTTCGTCATTCGTATTTGATTCTATTGGTACTGAACCTTTTGGAACTTCACGAAAACGTTTTATATCCTATTTTTAAAATTAAAATCGAATGAAGAAATATTATTAATAACATACTCGTTTATCAAGATGAAAATTTTCTTTCGTATCATCAACCGATCCTCCAGATTGAATTTCATTAAAAAGTTTTGGCCAAAGTTGTGATAAATCATCATTAATATGATGTTTACATATTTTAACTAATTGATTTGTTACTTTAGAAAAAATTAAACCTAAATAACCTTGCCGAGCATAATATCTTGATACAGATTCAACAGTTCTCATTGCATCACACAATGCTGGTAATATATTAACAGCACAATTTTGTGGATGACTATCTTCAGTTAAATTTTCTAAATAACGTCGAATTGATTCAAGAAATTTCGTTTTATCACGACATTCATTTTGTGCTTCTGTTATTCTAATTTAGAAAACAATATATACATATATTAAATTGATTAAAATAAAACTTACGAAACATCAATAGCTTTCCATTTTCGTATAACTTTGGATTTTGATGTAATCAATGCACCAATGACGGCTTTACATTCTTTAGATTTTAATTGTTCAAGTAAATTATTAATTAAACGTTGTTTACGTGCCCATCGATCAATTTCACTCAATGGACCAAGTGATGGATGTGTTGAACTAAAGAAGAACAAGAATTTTATTCGATAAAATAAATTATTTTGTTATATAAAACATACTCTTCTCCAAATATATCTTGAAGAACATTTTCTATTGTTGTAATCCATGATAAAACTAATGTTTCACAATTACGAATGACTGGACTATCAGCTGTTGAACGTCCAGTTTGTTTCAATTGATTTAACATTTCAGCATCAGCACGTTTCAATAACTAAAATAAATATAAATTGATTAATCCTTTTTTTTCCTCTTCAAGAATAATGGCTAAAAGAAAGTAAAATCTCTGTATGTAAATAAAAACTAAATTAATGAAGTGAATATGAAGAAATATACGGTTATGCATATTTATTTGAAGACTATGAGAAAAGTACCGATGTATTGCAAGTCAAACAAGGATCAAAATTGTTTATACTAGATTAAATTTAACAACAGTTATTAGAAACAATCTGTATCGAACTAAATAGTTCGCATATGAATATTTATTTCTTAAGAAGATGTTTAGAAAAATGATATTATTTAATACTTACTAAATTCTTATCTTTTTGTAAAGAATTACATGTCGCATTGATACCATCAATTTGTTTTTCCATTTGAGTTACAATTGTTGTTTTTGTCGCTATTTGATTATAGCTATCATTTGAACTCGGTGTTAATTCTTTCTTAAACAATGGTAATAATGTTTGTCCATAAAGTAATGTTGTCATTTGTGCTGGATGTTTAATTTCTCCACTATAAATATCAGATACAGGTGATACAGTTGCATCAGAACTTGTATCCGAACGAACAAAAAATAATATAATTAGATTATCCAAAGGTTCATTGACGAGTATATATTCATCAACAATATTATTACAGCACATTATTTCTTTTGAATAGAGATGATCTCGTGTTGTATAGAAAAATAATTTATTTGAACCTTTTGCACATAGAAAACTATTGATTTTTTCAAGTACATCAGGTCGTCGAAAGAATGTTTCAGTAAATGATGCATCAGCAGTCGAAGTTTTATCAATACAAAATGTTTGTTCAACTTTAGCAGCAATCCACCAGTGACGTTCATCCATATTTAGGATAAAAATCGATTTATAATAATAGAAAAATCAATCGTACATTTTTATCATTTGCATTCTCATTCGACTTGATTTCTTAGCAACGACCTTCATATAAAAATCAATAGATTAATATGACATCTATCGAAATATTAATCTAACATTAAAAAATAAAATATTCTGAAAAAAATCATAATTTAATTTAATAAATGATGGAAAATATAAAATTTTGAAAATTTATTCGAACAAACAAATCTTCATGGTTTTTTTTCTTTGCTAAGCAATTGTTATTAGTATACGACATTTGTTTCTATCTGCCTATTCGTCTGTTTATTTGTTTGTTGATGGAATGTTGTAAGATATTTTTTTTTTTCTTCTTTCAGATTCAAATCATTGTGCGTTAACATAAGAATGAGTTCAGAACGGTCAATTTCACCTGATCCATTGCCACGATCTCATTCTCATTCAAGTGTTACTCTTGCTGATGAAAAAGAAAGTAATGGACACAATGCTCGTCAATCATCGGCAGTACAAAAACGTCGCCGGGACAATTCGAAGTAAAACAAAAACATTTGGTTTTCTTTTTCTCTATTTATTTTTATTGTACATTCAGTCGTACACCTTCGCCACGTTCGGCAACATCTCGATCACGTAGTCGTAGTTCAATTGAAGGTTCAAAATCACCTGCTGTGCGTAATAATGCAAACAACAATAATAATAATCATCGTTCACCATCTCCACCTCGGCAATCGAATTCATCATCAAAACGACGTCGTAGAAAAGGCAGTGATGCTGATTCTGGTCGACATATTTGTGCACTCTGTTCATGCGATGTTGAAGCAGCCAAACGCTTATATGGTGTATTAGATAATTGCGATCATATTTTGTATGTATATTTTTAAAATAGATTTATATTAAACGGTTAAATTTTAGCTGTTATGAATGTATTGTTTCATGGAAACGTTCAAAATATAGTAATGCTGAATCGGAAAGGTAAATAATAATTATTTAAAAAAAAAATAAAACATAGAATATTTTTTTTATTTAGTTGTCCAGTATGTAAAGTACGTTCAGCATTTATAACACCAAGTAAAAATTGGTTTGACAATAAAGATGATAAATATCGTCTTGTTAAAAAACATAAAGGTCATTTAAAGTAAGTTTTCAAAAAAAATTTTTTTTTTATAAATGAGAAAGATATCACATTAACAATTAATCCATACTATTAGGGAATATATTGACAGTTATTATTACTCTATCATTCTTCTAGACCTGTGTTTTTATTCGTCAATCGAGTTCTTCCTCAGATTAAGCCCATTGTTCTTAAATACAGATTTATTTTATTTAATATTAATTATCACTTAAACGAGTATCATTAATTAATCTGGCTGTTTGTTAGAATTTATATCCAATTAACTTTGGCAGATTTAACAAAATATTTTATATCGTTTATATCTTACATATACATATGAAATTTTTATATCAAAATATTTTGCAAAATGTATGTATAGATGTGCTGTGTTTTCTATATATACCAGTATTAGCCTTAAAACGTTTGTATATATGGAATATTTAATTATCTTCTTCTTTATAAAGATATTCAATTAAATAATTCTTAAAAAAATATTTTATTTTATTTTAATCTCAAGGACATTACCTTGTCGGTATTATCTTCGTCATGGTTTTTGTCGTTATTCGGATCGATGTTTTTATGATCATCATGAAGCAGCAAAACAATATAAACAACAAAATCAACATTCACGAGATGGTGATCGTGACCGTGGTGATCGTGACCGTGGTGATCGCGGTGATCGTGGTGATCGTGATCGTGGGGATCGTGATCGCGATCGTGATCATCGCGGTTCACATAATGGTGGTAGTCGCTCATACCATCATTCACCATCACCCCCACCACCATCATCATCAAGCCGATATTCCTCGTCACGCTATCGTGAACGTGCTTATTAATCTTATACTCAAGATTGATTAAAATGAAGAATAAACAAGAAAAAAAAAAAAGTTTTTTTTTTTCTTTGTATAGTGCTTTGATTCAAAATCACGGAAGTATAACAAACAACTACTCGTATCTAAATCTTTTTCTTTCTCTTTGTTTCTGTTGAAAATATATATATGTCTATTAGAGATTGTCTTTTTTGCTGTTGTTAACCTTTTTTTTTTGATTTGTCTAATTTTTTTTGTCCCGATAATCATTGATTATTTCGAATCTCGTCGTTCGATAGCACATACATATGTTAACTTGAAAATCAAAAAAACAAAATATCTAACTATTGTATTGTTTGTTTCTTTGTCTTTAAGATAATATCGTAGATATGACAACCAGTGATTCAACAAAATCATTTGCATCAGTCGCTGCCAATATGAAAGGAGCACCAGGATCTGGCCAAATGGGTGATTCAGGGTTTAAAACACGTCAACGACCTGATGCTATCCGAAATTCAAACATTGTTGCCGCCAAAGGTAATTCGCCAAAAAGAAAACTTGTAATAATATTTAATTTATTTGAAAAAAAATTTCATTATAGCTGTTGCTGATGCTGTACGAACAAGTTTAGGACCACGTGGTATGGATAAAATGATTCAATCAGGTAATGGTGAGGTTACAATTACAAATGATGGTGCTACTATTCTTAAACAAATGTCTGTTATTCATCCAGCTGCAAAAATGGTTTGTTTATTTATTTCATTAGTTTTTTTTTTGTTCTATAAATAAATTTAAAATATTTCTTTTCTTTTTAAGTTAGTTGAATTATCTAAGGCACAAGATATCGAAGCAGGTGATGGTACAACAACAGTTGTTGTTATTGCTGGTAGTTTACTTGATGCTGCTAGTCGTCTTGTAGCAAAAGGTAATAGGAAAAACTATATCAAATTGCATAGTAGTCTAATAATATTTGAGCTTCAACTAAAACGAATGTTTTACTTGTAATTTGGTTTACTTAGAAATCTAACCCAGATTAAGTTTTTCACAAAACAAATTTCCATTTATCCTGAACACAGATCTTGATAGGATCTATATATAATATTGATAAGTATTTATGAATAATTCATTAAGATCTATCAAGTTCCAATATTTCTACTCGTACTTACAATGAAATAATATATCCTCAGACATCAGACAACTTTCGCCTACAACAGTACTTTGAAAGGCTCTCATTTACTGAGTAGTATACTTTACTGATTGAATTACGAGTGCATTTCCTGTGCGTAGTACAAGATTTTTCACTAGAATACAATGAAAAATGAAGTAGACATTTTTTCTTCTTAGCTTAATTTGGTGTTATTAATCATTTATCAAGAAGATATAAAAGCATACTAAATATTAATTCATCAAAATATAATAAAAGAAATAGTACATTATTATTTTTATTTAAAAATATTTAGGTCTTCATCCAACAGCAATTGCTGAAGCATTTGAAAAAGCAGCTGATAAAGCAACAGAAATTCTTAAAAGTATTAGTATACCTATAGAACTCAGTGATAAAGACTCATTACATCGAAGTGCTTCAACTGCATTAAACTCAAAAGTATATAGAAAATAAAAACATTTTTATAAAAATTTTGCTATGTATGTGTTCAGGTCGTTTCACAACATACTCATCTTCTTGCTCCAATGGCCGTACAAGCAGTACTTAAAGTCATTGATCCAGCAGTTGATCGTAATGTTGATTTACGCGATATTCGTATTGTTAAAAAATTAGGGTAAAAATAATTCAAAGAATATCAGATATTTTTAATATTTTCTTTTGTTTTTTTCTTCTTCTTTCAAGTGGCACTATTGAAGACACAGAACTTGTTGATGGTCTTGTTCTCGATCAAAAAACAATTGGTTTCGGTGCACCAACACGTATTGAAAAAGCTAAAATAGCTTTAATTCAATTTTGCATTTCACCACCAAAAACTGATGTAATTAACATAATTTTTCTATTTCCATTTAAGAAAGTGTTTCTAAATAATTTAGATGGAAAATGCCGTTATTATTAGTGATCATGCTCAGATGGATCGTGTCATTAAAGAAGAACGTCAATATATATTAAATATAATCAAACAAATTAAAAAAACAAGTTGCAATGTATTACTCATTCAAAAATCAATTTTACGTGATGCTATTAGTGACTTAGCCATCCATTATTTAGCAAAAATGAAAATTTTAATTGTTAAAGATGTTGAACGAGAAGACGTACCATTCATTGCTAAAGTACATTTGCTTTATTATTATGAAAAATAATATATAAATAATATATTTTGTCTTTAGACACTCGGTTGTAAACCAATTGCAAGTTTAGATCATTTTAATCAGGATATGTTAGGTACAGCTGAACTTGTTGAAGAAATTACTGCTGGTTCCGACAAAATTGTTAAGGTATTTAGACAAAAAACAAAATTTATTTTTAATATTATTTCCTATATTTTCTTATCATATATCTCTCATGTATAATATAAAACAAAGGGCAGATGTACCCAGACGGATCTTGTAGGTGTAGTAATTTTAGAATTGTGACTTTTTTGTTGATTTTTCTAATCAGATCTAAATATATGTTCTGTATTTCCCGATTAGAAAAAAGGTATTTTTATACTTCGCAAGAAATGTCTCGACAAAATAAGTATTATAATTATATAAAAGAGCATTATCAGGACACTCGCCTACGTCTTGCTACATATTGTGATATAAATATTCACAATTATTTATTAAAGCGAGAACTCAAGGTGCATTAAAAATTCATACTTCAAAGACAAAAAATAATAAAATGAGATTATACAAAATCAGGTCAAATTGAAAGAATTACTGAAGCGTTCTTCTGATATTTCAATAAAATTTTAATCACCTGTAGAGTTATTTAGATGCAAAAAAGTCATACTGTTGTGTAGGAGAATATTAATGTATTCAATAATTTATCGGTGTTCTTTTATTTTTGCGTATAAAAGTTACTTAAAAAAGAAAAATTATGAAAATCATATATAGAACTAGACCGTTCTTTTTCTCCGAGAATATTAAAAATAGAAATTCAATTATTTTTTAAGTATGCTTATATTTACTTTATTAGATCACGGGCGTTGCACATCCAGGTCATACAGTATCAATCTTATTACGTGGTTCAAACAAACTAGTACTTGAAGAAGCTGATCGATCAATTCATGATGCTCTTTGTGTTATCCGATGTCTTGTTAAAGAACGGTTTGTTATTTCATAAAAACAAAAAAACAACAAATTGATTTATTGTTATCTATATATAGAGCTTTGATTGCTGGTGGTGCTGCACCCGAAATTGAATTAGCTGTTCGTTTAGCTGAATATGCTCAAAGTTTATCAGGTGTTGATCAATATTGTATACGAGCATTTGCAGAAGCACTTGAGGTTATTCCTTATACATTAGCTGAAAACGCTGGATTAAATCCAATTGCAACTGTAACTGAATTAAGAAATCGTCATGCTCAAAATGATGTCAATGCTGGCATTAATGTTCGAAAAGTATATATATTTTATTTGAATTAATTTGAAAATAATTATTGAAATATTTTTTTCTAGGGTCTTATCTCAAATATTCTTGAAGAGAATGTTGTTCAACCATTACTTGTTTCTGTTAGTGCTATTCGTTTAGCTACTGAAACAGTTCGATCAATTTTAAAGATTGACGATATTGTAAATTAATTTATTATATTTTAAATTTCTATATATATTTCTTTTTTTAAATTTTAATTTAGATCGAAACGATGTAATCAAGAAAAAACAAGGCATTAATTCTCAACATAATTGTTTGCGCGTGTGGTTTGCTCTGTAGGAAATGTTTTTTCTTCTCTTTGTTGTTGTTTATTGTTGTTGTTATTGCCATTATAACTTTTTTTCTCTTTTAAGAACACCCGTGCTTATCAAAACATACACTAAGTGAAAACAAAATGAATGATTTGCGATATGAACAAGATCAGTTTTTTCTTTTTTTATATCAATAAACTTTTGCACCGCATTTTCATTTTATGACATAACATAAATTCAACAATTTAAATATTGATTCGTAATTATCGTCGGTTTCTTTACATTTCTACTTTCGATTGAACGCTCTAAGTGCTCTACAATTATAAGTACCATTATAGTTGTATTTGTACGGAAATAGTTATCATTTTAGAAAATATTTTTTAAGGATGTTGATGCTGCCCTATTCTTAACCCTGGCGTGTATAGACTGAAATTTTTATCAGATAGATATATATATATAAATGAAGTAAAGAAAATTTATTGCATGATTGTATTAAGAAATCTGGTAAGTGCATATCGTAGAATTCATTTCCCCTTTAAGTTATATTCGCTTCAAGAATTTGTTTCATAAACAAACAGAAACTATTCATATTTTGACATTCTTCAACTCTAATGAGAACTTTTGATTGAGTATGAAAAAGAAATGATTATATGTTAAATATTTCTTCTCTCTTTTATATAATATAAAAATAACATTTATATTACAAAGAACAAAAAAAAAGAATTTCACGTTTATTTTATGTGTCTAACTACCACAATAAACACCACCGTCATCACTGATTGATGTTGTTACTTGAGCAGAATTCGTCGGTGTATTGAGTGTTAATCTCATAGTTGGGGAACTACTTGATTTATTATTTAAAAATGCTGGTCGACTTGTAGATGCTTTACGAGATGATGGTGTATCATCATATTCGCTAGTTGGTTGTGGCATTGATGAAGTCGAGGGTCGTTTTTGATCATTCGAGCGACGACGACCAAATGCAAATGAACGATATTCTGCAGGCATATCATCAATAAAAATACTATGTTTGACTTTTTTCATTGCTATTTCACGACGTTTTTCTATTGTGCTTGGCTTCCGGTAATTTACTTTTGATTTCTTTTCTGGTCGTTGAATAAGTCCGTGATTTATATTATTGCTACGAGTTGTTCTAGTCGATTGAAAACAATTAAGAACTATTAAATATTCTTCACGAAATGTATCAGATAGAAAAACATATAAGACTGGATTCAGGCAATTATTTGCGTAACCAATTATTGTTGTCAAATGTGTTAATTCTTTAAGAAAACGCATATTTGTATTTGCTGGCAAAATAGAAAAATGTAAACGTAATGAATGAATTAATGGATCAATTGTTATAAAGATTTGTAAAAACCAATAGGGTACCCAACAAATAAAATAAGCTGTTATAACAGCTAAAACAACACGTGTTACTTTCCTGTGCGAACGTTGCTTAAATTCTGATTGATGTTTTCGACGTATCTGATGAAGACGTATAAGAACAAGAACATAAAATGTTGTTATCATTGATACTGGAAAAAGAAAGCCAAGTAAAAATCCATAATAAGTAAATACAATTTCTGGAGGAATTGTAAATATTATAGCCGGAAAATCGATAACACATCTAAACAGATATATACAAAAAAAAATTTTTTTTTTTTCTTAATATATTAGTCAATCATAACATAAAATTTATGTTTATCTAGATAAAGTCTTGATGGAATTATATTTGCTAGAAATATGATATATTGCGTAAATAAATCATCAATTAAACTAATTATTGTCTGTTTTTGACGTCATCAAAGATTCGTAATTCTACACACTACAATAAAGTTTATTTAGTAAATCTAACAAGTTATATGAGATATTTTTATTTCCGTTTCATTTATAATTATTTACTAATCAATTTTTTTTCTTTTATAAACGAATTATGCCTATATAAATATTACTCCTACGTGTGAAATTAAAAAAAATAAGTATATGACTTTGTAAAATTGGTAAATATTAATTTCTACAATAAAAAAGTGTCTATATGTCGTATGGTCTTTTGATGACAAAAAAAATCTATTTTCGTATTCATGATATTTTCTTCCTCTGATTATTAATTAATAGAACTAGAATACTTTTAACTTATTATCAAGGTATAAAGCTTGCATTCCAGTGAATCTCTTACGGATATGAATATATATATTTAGCGAAAATTATTTGACATTCTAATAATTAATAAAACAAGAAACTAGGATTTCATCAACAACACTGGAGTTTTTATCATAACTAATTGTTTCTACGATCAAATATCTAAAAATAAATCTAGAGTATCTCACTATTATCAAATTACTTTCGACGTTTCTTTCCTTTTGTGTGAAGGTAGATTAAATCTCTTTAAAACTATATTTTCCTTATTAATTGTGACGTATATCTTTCATAAATCTCTAATATAGTTTTTTGTTTATCTTTTATAATATTCAAATATGATAAATTATTAGGTAGAAATTTTCATACACTCAAACTGTTCATACTTATTTAACAACTAATGTCAATTATATATTCTGTTGTTGACTTTTTTTTTCTTATGTAGTTGTTCAAAATTAGATCTTCTTTTTTATTTATTTGGGCGTATTTAATTATGCAAAAGGAGCTTCATTCGATTGCATCTTTTGTATTTTTTGACATCAAAACAAATGCTGTTAATAGAATATATATGTAACATACATAAGGATGTAATTAAGATTTTCTTTAATAGTTTTTCACGTACACACACATTTTCATTTGCATGCTTACAATGTGATTGTACTCTTACAAGATTGGTAGTATATAATATAGAAATAATTATATCTAATCAACAAACTAATTTAATTAATAAAATTGTATTAATAAAAATAGAAATAATAAGAAGAAAAACAACGACGACAACCTTGCTATTAAAGATACGAAAACAATGGTCTTACTTCTGTACTCGATATCCAAACCAAACGATGTGTCGCTCGGAAGTGACAGTTGCGAATACCCATGTTGGACAAAGAAAAAGAACAGAGATAAGCCAACATCCTTAATCAAAACATAATTCTCAATAGAAAAATTTCTCGGGTTTTGTTTTGTTGTTGCTTTCTTATTTCTAACATACCTGCTATAATTAATGCCGATTTAGTTCTTGTTCGAAATTCAATTGCACGAACTGGATGACAAACAGCTAAATATCGATCAAATGATAAAGCAGCCAATAATAATGAACTAACATATTGATTTATATGTATAAAATTATAATACATTTTACATAATACATTTCCAAATATCCATCCATTTGCAAGTATTGTTACAATAAGAAATGGGATACTTAAAAGAAGCAGAAAATCCGCTATAGCTATATGAAATAAATAAGTATTGGTAACTGTACGAAGACGTGATGAACGTATAATACTAATAAAAACTAAACCATTACCAAATGTTCCCGTACAAAAAAGTATTGCATAAATAGGCACAAAATAATATGTTATAGGATTATTTCTTGGTACATATGTAATTAGAGGAATCGTTGTATTACTTAATATATCACTATTATTCTCCAACATTGTTCATTAATTTAATGTATTTTATTATTAATAATAAACCTATTCTGAATAATGTCTAAAATAAGATAGAATAAACTTCATAAAGGTAAGAGAGATGATGATAGGAAGAAAAATATGAAAAGTTGATGAAGGCAAAGAGAAGAAACGCTAGTTTTTTCTTCTCTCGTTTTTTTTTTGTGTAAGAAGTATAGAAAAACAAAAGGAGGAGAAAACTTGTAGCGATAAGAAGCGAGGAAAAAAAAGAAAGAAAAAAGAGCAAGGAAAGATGGTTATTATCGTCATCGATGAGATATTTGATGTTTTTGCTATGAATATGCAATGAACTAATCGTAACGATATGAATCAACGCAATTGTTTCATTGGAATTGTCATGAGTGCTTGTTTTTTCTTCTTAATTTATTCTAATTCAGAAACAAATGAATATAATCTATTTCCATAATATTTTGTTTCGTCTACTAAGCGACATTTTATTGCAAGAAAAAATATTGTAATAAAAAAAAAAACAAGGTCATTTATTTCCGTAAAGTGAGGAAATATTCGAACACATAAGCTTCCTATTGAATGTGTTTGTTTAGAATCAAACAACACATTTATATTCTATTCATCTAGATATTATCCGACATATTTTATATAGAGAAAAAAGAAGACAAAAACCTATTTTATAATCTTACTAAATGAATATAAATTTATCAGATGTCTATTATAATAATACCTTAGTAAAAGAAAAACTAAATAAATGAAAACATTAATTTTTATCAAAATATCTAATTAAAAACTATATGAATTATAATTATCTGTCAAAATAATATGATAGTATATCTTCCAAACATGTCTGGCAGTATCCATTCTAATTTATGATTTTAATATATAGGATCAACTATATATTTTGAGCTAACGATGAAACATACTTGTACTGTGTAATACTCATCAGAAATATAAATATAACTCTGGACAAATTTTCGTACTCAACTAAATATACTTCATAGTTCATTGCAGAGAAGGAAAACTAACTGAAAATAATGTTTCTATAACGGAACAAGAAACTGATAATGATGATTTTTATGTTTTCTTTTTCCGTTTTTATCTATATTAGTATCCGGACTAGTTTCTTTTATACCAATAAATTCTATTTTGAAAAAAAACTGTAAATTGTCATGAGATTCATTTTCCTTGGAGGTATAATGTAAGTCATCAGAGACTTTCCTTTTCAATACAAAAGAGATATATATATAATTATTTTTATTATTCAAATAAGATCATATATGAGATCTTAGATCTAACTAATTTGTATTTAAATTAACACTGAAGACAAAACGAATGCAAATCATTTTGCATTATTCTCTTAATATAAATAAGTGTATAAAGTTTGTCAGAAATTTACAAAAATCGTATATATATATCGTTTTGATTGGAAAATTTTTCTTATTTTAAAGCAACATTCTAATATGATTTACAATTAATTATTACTGCTTCACGTGATATTCAATATTAATCATATTTATAATCAAACATTTGTTCTTGCATGATTTATTTCTATTAGTTCTATATCTAAAACGGATGAGAGATATTAGTTTTTCTAGTAACATGAAAGACACGACTAAAACCTAGATGACTATTTGAAATAAATAAAAAATTTGTCGACCATTTAAAAATAAATCTTAATTGGTTGTGTGATATGAAGAATAAATATCATGCATCATTTTCGAGAACAAAGGTCGTGCATCGTATATGGAATCTTGAACTTTGCATGTACTCATCAAGAGAAGTCATTGAAATAATCAACAGACATGGACCTAATCAAAAATATAAGAAAAAAGAAGATATTTGCACCAAGTATGTATCTGTAGGCTATGTTCCTAATATATTTCTATATGAAATAAATAAACTAGTAAATTTTTTACGGGGTCATATAGGATCCTAGTATAAACATGATTATGTTCATATTAATTCAATATGTTTGTATTTTTATTAAAAAAAGTTTTGCTGTCTATATACTATTTTCTAATGCTAGTTAATTTATTCGAAATTTATTAATAAAAAAATAAATATGATTATAACAACTGCTTCTTTTTTTATTTCTCTCTCTGTACGTGACTAAATAATAAAAAATATTTTAATTTGATTTATTCTTAATAAGATTATATTTTTAGTTAATGATAGATGAATATGATTAAATGATTTTGCACATGAGTTCACTTTTTATGCTTGTCTAAATAAGACAACATAATTTTTTTATATAAAAATAAATTTGACATCTATCTTAGGTACAGTATTCTCATTGTCTAGGAGTACTTTGTTCTTTCAGAATCACTGACGCATATATGCGTTCTGAAGTTGTTTGTATAAAATTAAACTGAGCCTGGATCCTGAAAATGTCACGATAATTAAAATATAGAAACTTGACTTGGTTTGCATAGTAATATATTTGATTTAAATCAAAAGTACGAAATACAATCATAAATAGTCATATAATTAATCATGACAGGGATTTATATGACTAAATCAAATGAAATAGTAGTGTATTATAACTAAATATAAATGATTTAATTTTACAAATGGCATGGTATCTTTGAGTATATTAACTTTAAAATGATGATAATTTATCGAGACATATACTTTTTAATTAATCAGTGCAATACGAACAATTTAAAGGCTTGTAAATCAAGTTGTGATAGTTCATGCAATGTCAATGTCTATAGAAAGTATGAATTCATTAAGTGATTTTCCTGTCTTGTCGACATAGAACTAAAATCTCTAGAGAAATAAAACATATGCTAACGCATGTAAAATATTATCACGATACGACATCAAATTTTCTTTGAATAAGTTCATATATAATCTATTTATGGAACTAAAAACAAATTGAAATCACTGGTTTAATATTTAATACAATCAAAACAAAGAAGAACTTGATTCAATATAATAAAGTATCGAGCAGATTTAACTTGAATTATAGCTTGAATAAAAACCCAACATGCTTATCTCTGTTTTCATCTATATGGAATTAATATAATAATCATAAATAAAAATAGAAAAGGTTCTTTTGACATTAGCTATACTTATCTTCATACTCCTTGGAAGTGTTTTCCTCGGTTTTAATCAATATTAAAAGAAGTCTAAGATAAATTGTAATTTTTTTTAGAGTAAATTAATTTATTATTTACACAAAAGACTATCAATTGAAGTATGACTTGAAATAAATCTTCTTGACTTAATTAACGTCAAATATAAAGTTGCAACACTCAGATTCAGTAATGAGAAAGATAGAAACAAAGATAATCTTGCTGGTATGTATCAAATCTTTTCCATCCTGAAAAAGAATAACATTGTCATATTTGTGGAACTTATTTCTTAGAGTCGTCTTTTACTTAAGAGTATAGATGCACTGTCTGCCCTTTATATATTATTTATATGAAAAAAACAGGATTTATGTTTCTAATTGACTTATTTTCATAAATTTTGTAAATAATGTCTACTGTAATAATCCCGTGAAATTTATATCAACCACATAGTTTTACTGTTTACTCTCGACAGATAATAGAACTACGAATGCTAATAAATATACTTTTATATTAACGATATGTTTACAAAATCTTGTGATTTATTGTTTTTCATATACGATGACACTTGTTTGTGAAGACTTTCTATATATTTTGACGTAAAACACATATTGAAACAAGTTTTAACAAGACAAAAATACAGATGAGGTTCTTCAAGATAAACTAATTATCTGTTTATACAATGATTTTGTATACTATCACGATTCGGATGTGTTGTATCATTAATAAAATTATCTATTATGATTATAAGATTAAGTGAACGTGACATACAAGTGTTGTTGTCGATATGAAACAAATCAATGAATATTTTTTTCTATTTTTGCGAATAAAAATCATATAATGATATATTTCCAACACAAGGGAAATTAGATAAGACTACTAGAATAATATATTATATATAAATGAATTTTTGGTCTTTTAGAACTGAATATTTGATTTTATTAGAAAATATCATTTAAAAAAGAACTTCAGACATGATATCTCGCTATAGCTATTGCCATTTTATCATTGAATTTTGCATTAAAAATATATTTTGGTTATTAAATAAGCATCTGTTCAATTAAGAGAAATAGTCAAAGTGCGTCATAACCGAAACATGTATATGATAGATGACAGAAACATTTATTTGAGTACCGTCTACGATAAAAATATGTATTTTTAAGTATGTCCTTGTATAACGGACGCTAACAAAATTTAAAATAGAATTCCTGAATATATATAGTAGTATTGTTTTTTCGAGATATGAGATTCTAATCTATTATTACTGTGTATCGTGTCAATCTATGATATTTAATTATAAGAAGCAAAACAAAAGCAACAGTTAACTACAATTAAAAAATAAATAAAATCTCTATAACAACAGTATATGCATATAAGAAATTAAAATATAAGAAAATAGATTAGATATAAACGACAATAAGATTTCGATCAGAAAAAAAGGAAAAAGTTATTGTTTATTATTAAGTAATTTTTTAGTACTATCAATACGAACCTTTAAATCAGTAATAAATTGATCATTACTTAGTTGTGGATTAAGTGCAATTAAATCTGCTGCTCGTTCATAGCTCTCAATTGCTTTTTGATAATCATTTAAATGGAAGTAACTTTTACCAATTGCATCATACAATGGAGCAAGATCTGTATGTTGAGGTGGTAAATAACTTAAACTAACGTCAAGTGCTTGTTGCGATTGTTCTAATGCTTTAATATAATCGCCTTTCAGCATGTAATTAGCAGCTAAACCATTATGCACACGTACAAGACGACGTGGTTGATTAAGAACTGATGTATCTTGTAACATTCCAAGAAAGAATTGTTCAGCACGCATATATTCACCCATTTCCATGAATAATTTACCCATATATGAAAGTGGATTAGCATGTACTTCATTACTTCGTAAGGGTGCGACAAGACGAAGTAATTGTGGATCATCATCAGCTATTAAAGTTAATTTTACATTCCATAAAATACCTACAGCTTCATCGGTAAATTCTTCAATAGAATCTATACGAAATACGGTATTTAAGCCAAATAATACTCCATTTGTGTTTACTTTATCATCACCATGAACTTTATCGAGTGAAGCAAATGGACTTCGAATACTATATGTTGTTGGATTAACATATATTTCAAAAAGAACACCAGTTACATTTGGAAGAGCGATAAGACGTCGATGAATAAAATCGAGACTAACTGTTTTATCCATATGAGCAGTGAAAAAATTATTAAACGAAATAAGACCATGTAAATTATTCTTTACTAAACTATTAAATTTATCATTGAACATAGTTTTTCCACGATATACAACTAATATATTTTCAGTAAAAAATGAATTATTTTCATGAAAAATATTCAATTGTGTATGTGCATGTTTAACAAGAAAACCTAATTTGTAGAGAATATCTATTTCAAAAGTACGTTGCATACGTTGTAGAACACGCCAAATAAAACCTGGACGTGTTAACCATAAAAGTGCTTTTTGTGGTCGATAATTTGCTTCAAATTCATCAATCATATGTAATTGTTCAGAATTATTAACATAATGTATTCGACAAAAATTAACAAATTCATTTTTAGCATTATTATCAAATTTTAATCGAAAGTTAATTTCTCTAATGAATTGTGCATAAAGAAATGTTGCCCCTTGTTTTTTTAAATTAGCAGATATTGTATCATCTTGTGATATTGGAGCTGATGCAGTAAGAACTATAAGATCAAGTTCGCATAAATCGACATCGATCTCTAATTGTTTGCATAAACTATCAATATCATAAAAAATATTTGAAGATGCTGGAATAATATTAATATTCTTATCATTTTCGCGAAATGATGAATCAAGAATATAGATTTTTTCAAGTTGAGGTAAATTTCGAATTGAATCAACAAATGATTCTTCAGTTGGTACAATAAGGAAGATTTTTTCTACACGTATATTCGTTATATAAGCAACACACTGATCACGATCGGTAAAGATTTTTATAGTCGAAACGATATGGCGTAATTTAGCTTTTTCAAGTTCAACATCTATAGATGAATCATTTAAAACCCAAATAATAATACAATCTTCTACGATACGATCGGACTGTTGCTGCGGTATTTGACGAAATTTAACAGATTTTGAACTTGAAGCCGGTTCAATAGGTTCAACAGATAGTCCTGTGGATTTTGATTGTGAACAACCCATATCACAATATTAAATCTAAAAAATATAATATATTTATAGCGAAGTATTTTATCAGAATAGATCTAATCTATTTTTCTTTCTTTCTTTCTGTTTAATACAATGAAAGATAGTGTCGTCTCTTTGTCGAATATTAATTTGTACAGAGAAAAACATCAATCTTTCAACAATTACGTCTAAAAGATTATCTATTGTTTTCTTACATCAACTTTGTTTAGCTCCATTTTTTTTATACCTTTGCAAGTGGACATATATTCTATCATTCTACACAAATGACACTCGACTTATACGAGTCATTAGAAAACAATCTAATGAATTTAATACTTTTGTTTTCTAATATAGGAATTAAGAAAAAATACGAATCATACGCAATATAAATTAATTTCGTCGTTCTATCATTGTTACACATAATTCATAAAAATAAAATATATAAACCAAGATGTGTTAGGATCAGTTGACACGTACAGTAACTTTGAACGATGTTGCCATTTCACAAGCTTAAATTTTCTTAATTGTCATATGAAAAAGAATATATATAAAAACTATTTTCATAGGAATCTCAGTATTTTTATAAAGATATAATATATCTTCTTCCATTTTGCTTAAATACAATACCATAATTGTATAATCATAGAACAGATGTTTTTCTTTGAATATACAGATTTAGTATTATTCTATCCAATAATGAGACTACAACATATGAAATATCATTTTATATTTACATTAATTTTCAACGCATAATCAATCATTGTATATAGTCTATGGTAAAAACTACTGTAATTAGTCTAAACTGTCACATAATAGTTTGTCACTCACTTTTTACATGACTAAGACCGTATTCCTAAAAAAACTATTTCCAAAGTTACACAAATCTATTTCACACTACACATCATGTAGTCTACTGTTCTTTTCTTACTTACTTTGATACTTGTCGTAAAATAGTAAAATACAAATGTCTGTTATATTACTATAATCTCTCATCTCTTAAATCAAGTCGTATGCACTCATGAAATTTAAAATAAACATTTCTTGCGTCTAATTCTGCTTTATTTACTAAACAATCAACGAGAATATTCTTTATACAAAAAAAGTATTTCTCTATACAACAAATACAATTTTCTTAAAAATAACA